TTGACATCAACAGTGTAATCAAACATGCAAGCAAGAGCTTGCGAGCAGGACAACTGAAACAAAACAATGGGGGGCTGGGAGTGGAATAGAGAATTAATATAATCAAATAAATCCCCCTTCAATGACACTTTAAATATGGCACTCTATCATCACAATAGTGTATGGGCAAAGCAATTCCTTCTTTGCAACATGCCCAGAGTCTAGTTAACATACAATCAAGGGAGTATAGGAGATGGGGTTATATGTAACCCCTTTTTATATAAAAAGGACTATCTAAATGGAACAAAGAAACATTCTCTCTTGCCCTAAGTGAGCACAGTTTTTGGATCCCTAATCTTAGTGTAGTCCAAAAAGGGCTATTACATTTCAAAAATGCAAGTTTCCCTCTCAACATGTCTATTTTTTTCATAACTATATTCCCAATTTTCGGGAACCAGATGCTTAATTTAACTGGTATGTAGACTTCCAATTAGCTGCCAGAAACAGAAATGTGGTAAGTGTCAGGACAGTGCAAACTATATCTTGATCTATGAATTGAATTCCAAATAGGTTCATTTGCCCATACTCAAAAGGCTATGTATATGGTAAGTATGGCATGTCCACGAAATATGTAGGAATGTTTCTGCAGTATTGCTACACAAGCAAAAAAGCAGATAGTTTTGACATGAGTTGTGTGCATTCGAGAAGCTTATACTGACTTCATTGTGTACACTGAGAACATTTTACAGATTCAAAAGCAACACTGAAGATTGATTGAAATCATAGAATCATAGAATATCAGGGCTGGAAGGGACCTCAGGAGGTCATCTAGTCCAACCCCCTGCTCAAAAGCAGGACCCATCCCCAATTAAATCATCCCAGCCAGGGCTTTGTCAAGCCTGACCTTAAAAACTTCTAAGGAAGGAGATTCCACCACCTCCCTAGGCAACGCATTCCAGTGTTTCACCACCCTCCTAGTGAAAAAGTTTTTCCTAATATCCAACCTAAACCTCCCTCACTGCAACTTGAGACCATTACTCCTTGTCCTGTCCTCTTCCACCACTGAGAATAGTCTAGAACCATCCTCTCTGGAACTACCTCTCAGGTAGTTGAAAGCAGCTATCAAATCCCCCCTCATTCTTCTCTTCCGCAGACTAAACAATCCCAGTTCCCTCAGCCTCTCCTCATAACTCATGTGTTCCAGCCCCCTAATCATTTTTGTTGCCCTTCGCTGGACTCTCTCCAATTTATTCACATCCTTCTTGTAGTGTGGGGCCCAAAAGTGGACACAGTACTCCAGATGAGGCCTCACCAATGTCGAATAGAGGGGGACGATCACGTCCCTCGATCTGCTCGCTATGCCCCTACTTATACATCCCAAAATGCCATTGGCCTTCTTGGCAACAAGGGCACACTGCTGGCTCATATCCAGCTTTTCGTCCACTGTCACCCCTAGGTCCTTTTCCGCAGAACTGCTGCCTAGCCATTCGGTCCCTAGTCTGTAGCTGTGCATTGGGTTCTTCCGTCCTAAGTGCAGGACCCTGCACTTATCCTTATTGAACCTCATCAGATTTCTTTTGGCCCAATCCTCCAATTTGTCTAGGTCCCTCTGTATCCTATCCCTGCCCTCCAGCATATCTACCACTCCTCCCAGTTTAGTATCATCCGCAAATTTGCTGAGAGTGCAATCCACACCATCCTCCAGATCATTTATGAAGATATTGAACAAAACCGGCCCCAGGACCGACCCCTGGGGCACTCCACTTGACACCGGCTGCCAACTAGACATGGAGCCATTGATCACTACCCGTTGAGCCCGACAATCTAGCCAACTTTCTACCCACCTTATAGTGCATTCATCCAGCCCATACTTCCTTAACTTGCTGACAAGAATACTGTGGGACACCGTGTCAAAAGCTTTGCTAAAGTCAAGATACAATACATCCACTGCTTTCCCTTCATCCACAGAACCAGTAATCTCATCATAGAAGGCGATTAGATTAGTCAGGCATGACCTTCCCTTGGTGAATCCATGCTGACTGTTCCTGATCACTTTCCTCTCATGTAAGTGCTTCAGGATTGATTCTTTGAGGACCTGCTCCATGATTTTTCCGGGGACTGAAGTGAGGCTTACTGGCCTATAATTCCCAGGATCCTCCTTCTTCCCTTTTTTAAAGATTGTTTTAAAGATTTAAATGTGGATGTTGAAATCACTGCTTCAAGGCTGTAGGTTCAGAATATATTTCTGCTATACAGAAATCTCCACTGTTTTGATTACTCTGAGTGCAAATATAGTCTTATATATTCAATACAATTTTTATTCATTGACTCAAGGTATACAGAAGAGTTACTGCCTGTTTTGCCTGGTAACAGGATTGTTCTGAAGTACTTTAAGAATTTTTCATATAATACTTCTTGCTGGGATGTTTGTACTTTGACCTAACTATGGGACTTACTCATGTTGAATAGTACTTTACACCATGAGTATTCCTACTTTAGTCAAGTAGAGCTCTATTGAGTGTGGGTAAGAGTATCAAAGCATGTCACCAAGTATTCACAATATCATTTAGATATTTTAATTTGTACATTCAAGTGTGCAAATCTCAATAGAACTTGTAGTATTCATGATTTGGTTTCTCTCTCTGTCTCTCATTCTCATGAATATCTTTAAGCATACATATTTAAGTAATTCCTAAATCACACTCGTCATCTGATTTACTGGATATAGCAATGCATTTTATGCAGTGTCCTATGAGATCTTACTTGTAAAATGAAACAGAATGTGCTTGTCTGTCAAAGGAATAACTTTTAATGGTGGTGAATTGAGTTTGGGGTTCACTTGAATGTGGAATTACTAAATTGGGAATAGTTGCAAACAGCATAAGGTCAAAAATAAAGGACACTAAAGAGTTTAGAAACATGTATGGGTGGGTGTGAGCAAAACAATGGTGTGCGGTGCTTGGGGGCGGGGGAGAAAATCAAGCCAGTTCTATTTAGTTGCTCAAAGAGAGATTTAGACATCCAAGTCTTTAGGTCTCTTTTTTTGCTTGTTCTACTTCAGAGCGGCACTGATCACAACAGGATTCCTAAGATGGAATCGGAGTTCACACTTGCTGAATTCGCTCCATTTACTGATAATTTTCAGTTTTGATTTCAATGGAATTAGGTTCCTACTCACTCTTGAAAATCCCAGTTGGTGCTTATCTGCATCTCTACATGCCTAAATACCTTTTAGAAATCTGTTTAGTGGTGTTTGCAGTGGTGGTGTAACAGGGTTGGTCCCAGGATATTAGTGATGAAATGAATGAGTTAATATCTTTTTATTGGACCAACTTCTGTTGGTGAAAGAGACAAGCTTTTGAGCTACATTGAGCTCTTCTCCAGGTCTGGGAAAGGTATTCAGTGTCACAGCTAAATATAAAGTGGAACAGATTGTTTAGCATAACGGACACATTTAAAATGAAGTGGTCCCTTAGAATATGTGTTAATGTCCTCACGCTAAACAATCTGTTCTACCTTGTATTTTGCTGTGACTCTGAGCTCTTCAAGTCTGGGAAAATCACCCCGCGCAGCTTGAATACTTGTCTCTTTCACCAACAGAAGTTGGTCCCATAAAAAATTACCTCAACCACCTTGTCTCTCTCTTTAAAAATTTGTCCACTTACCCTTTCTCCATATAATGCAAGGGTGAAAATAATCTTTTATCTGCGCCAAGCTCTGCACCCACCTGAGCTGTACTTAAGTAATTAGGGTAAAATCCATTCCCCCACCTGCATAAAGTCACTGTAATCTGGCTCTAATATGTTTAGAAGGCAAAAGGTAGTGAAATCAACAGTGCTAACACATGGAGCCAGGGTGTGCAGTTACCTTCCTCACACACAGTTAACGTATACACATCAGGTTTTATTTCATTCAGGCTGTTGCTTGAGGTTTGGGAATGACTGGATGAATGTAAAGGTAAATGTCATAGTCCCTGCCCATTATGGCCTTCTGTGATGGCCTAAGCAGGTCTGGTTTGGAGACTATTGCCACAACATGTATGGACTGCATCTTATATAGCCCTTCTGGCCACAGTTTCCTCCTGCAATTAGGGTGACCAGATAGCAAGTGTGAAAAATCAGAGTGGGGGGTAATAGGTGCCTATTTAAGAAAAAGCCCTGAATATCGGGACTGCCCCAATAAAATCAGGACATGTGGTCACCCTACCTGCAATCACCTTAGGTAGTGGGGGAAATCTTGCACTGGCCCTCCATCCCCTGGTTGAATTTGAGCTTTCATACAGGCCCTAAGTTGGTTATGGATACAGCATGATGGAAGCTATTCACATGGGGTGAATTTCTCCCCAGTGCACATTTGGTGTTAGTTAATTTTAAAAGGTGGGAAATGAGCATTGTTAGTTTTAAATGTGGCAATTTGAGTGAAAAATCATCTAGGCCCCATTCAGGAAAGCAGTTAATGTGCTTTGGTGAATGTGGATAGACTGCTGAATCAGGGTTGGAGGAAAACTATATATAAGGGAACTAAAATGTATTTGTTTTTGAAATATCATGTTCAGAAACGCTTTAGAAGCTGGGATGCCCTTTCAGCTGGTCACCTTTCTAAATTATTTTTGCAACCTAGATAATTTAAGAGGAATTTGATTTAAAAAAAAATAGGTTGGAAGCCCAGATGCCTCTGGAACTTTTCTTTTCCTTCAGAAAGCTATGTGATGACCTATCCAAATACACTGACATGTCAGATCCATGGAAACTTGTCCATCTGAAGACGTTGCAAAAATAAAACCCAGTCAATAAATAGTTGTCCCCAACAAAACGAAAAAAAAAAAAAGAAAACACTAGATTGCTAACGTGTGTTGAGAATTCATCATGGGCATTCTGTTAAAAACAGACTCCACTAATCTCCTATGGATGAAATCTTGGCCTCATTGAAGTGGAACTCCTGATATTGACTCTAACGGGGCCAAGATTTTAGCCCCTATATTTAACAAATGTGTGCAACTGAAATTAATCAAAACTGCTTACTTGATCTTTGGTTTTTGATGAAAAATAGCTTCAGTCTCTCTTTAAATGTATTTTCATTCATATAAAATTCAACTTGTACCCTGAAACAGAAAATAGAGTATTAGAATTAAAAGTCAATCTATAAATGATTATATAGATACAATTGCACCACAAAATATCAGCATTTTCATGTGATTCCTCTTAACATTTTTTTTAGCATAAATTTAGAGGGACATATTAAGAATGAAGTAAAATGCACATTTAAGCACTTGGAACATACTGATTACAATAATTAGAAGTTAAATGCTAAAAAGACCTTATGTCATCTCATCTATCCTCTGGAAATGCAAGATTTGTTCCCTACGCTACTCAGCATAGTGTTTGGCCTGTTATAGCTTTCAAAATCATAAGCACTAGAGTTTAATACTTCCCTGGAACGACTATTCTGCAGTCTGAAAGATCTCTGTCAGGAAGTCTTCTCTAATATTTAATATAAACTTCTCTTTTTCTTAGTTTAATTCCATGACTGTTGTTTAATATTATTGCTTTCAATAATTCCTCTAATTTCTTTCTCAATGTTTACATCTTTCAATCATCTTATGGTGGGTACCTCATCCCCACCCTGTCTCCTCGAACCATGATTTAAACTGCTTACAGAGTCCTTCCCCTGTTCGTGGCACTCAAGGGATTTTTTTTAAAGGCCCTTTTTCCTCTCCTTCCCCTGGGAGAGGGAGAATCAGAGTAAAAGAAATAGGCAAAGGTGGTCAGTCTCTTAGGCAGTCTTTTGGTCTCTCCTTTGGGTTTTGGCTAATCTGCAGGTATACTGTCTTTAATCAGGAGTAGGGTCTGCCTCCAACTCTTCCTTTTGGTCACCCCTGCTTTATACCTGGTCCATACAGTCTCAGGGGCTGCAATTTCTGCAGTTGTCTTCCTCTTGCTGGTCTGTCCACGTAGCCAGTGGTCTCTCAGGTATAGCAATTTTCTCCCTAGTCACCACCTCTTCCTGTGGAAGGCTTTCCCTTTTTAAGCTTCCTCCCTCCAGGCAGATCAAGTCTCACAGACAGATCTCATTAGTGCTGGCTTAGCCCAGAAGGGCTCATTAGCCGCCGTCTCTATGAGACTGAGGAAATTACCCCTCACAACCTCCTCCCTGCAGTCCTGGGACAGGTAATCTCCATCTCTGATTTTCTGTGAAAAGAAACTAGCATTAACACACTCCTTTCCCATCTGGTGTTGCACTCTGAAACTATGGGTTTGTAGCACCAGGTACCATTGACTTATACATGGATTCACGTCTTTTATGGTTTGGAGCCAGTAGAGGAGAGCATGGTCTGTGATCAAGGAGAAGGGGCTACCTGGCAGGTAATACCTGAGAGAATCCATGGCCCATTCAATCACCAGTGCCTCCTTTTCAGTAATTGAGTAGGCCTTTTCTCTAGGGAATATCTTCTTAGTCAAGTATGCAATTGGGTGTTCTTCTTCAGTGTCTTCTGAGAGCATGGCTCTTAGGCAGACATGCGAGGCATCTATGTGCAGTATGAATTCACAAGAAAAATCAGGGCCGAAGAGCACAGGTGCCCAGCATAACTGCGCTTTCAGTTCATTAAAAGCTTCCTCCCTGTTCCAATCCCACCAGATCTTCTTTGGGTGGTGTACCTTTAATTAGGTCTGGAAGGTAGGCTGAGATTGAGGTAAAACTGAGCATAAACCTCCAGTAATAAATTGCCAGGCTGAGAAAATACCTCATTTGCCTCTTCTTCCAGGGAATTGGGCATGCTATTAGGGCCTGTGCCTTGTCAATCACTAGTTTCATGAGGCTGCACCCTATGTGGTACTCCAGATTGGGTACCTCAATCATGGCTAGTTACATGTTGTGGGGCTGGCCCTAAGACTTGCGTCTTGAAGGGCCTTTAACTCTGCCTTTCAGTATTGCAAGTGGTCTCCCCAGTGTGACAAAGTTCCTCCTCTGCCTTGGTGGGTCCTATGCTTATTGGTGGATTTGCTCACCTCAGATTCACAGCAGCCCTCAGTTTGGCCATTTTTGCTAGTGGCTCAAACCTGCCATTCACTCAGCTAACCTCATCACTGGCCAGAATGGGGAAAGGGAGGAGAACAGTCTCCGCAGTCTCTGCTGACCCACCTAGTGGGTTGGGGGATAGGCCAGGGACCATCCCCTCTGGAGGGACCCACAATCCAAGTCACTTCCTCTTGTCTCAAATAGGGAGTTGAAGGGGGATGGGAAGAACCCAGGCCCGCCCTCTACTCTGGGTTCCAGCCCAGAAGCCCTGTGGATTTTAACTGTCTACAGTGTCTCTTGTAACAGCTGTGTGACCGCTACAACTCCCTGGGCTACTTCCCCATGGCCTCCTCCCAACACCTTCTTTATCCTCACCACAAGACCCTCCTCCTGACGTCTGGTAATGCTTGTACTTCGCAGTCCTCCAGCAGTAAGCCTACTCACACTCAGCTTCTTGCACCTCTTGCTCCCAGCTCCTCACATGCGCCACACTAACTGAAGTGAGGTCCTTTTTAAAACCAGGTGCCCTGATTAGCCTGCCAGTCCTAATTGAGTCTGGTAGCTTCTTAATTGGCTCCAGGTGTCCTAATTAGCTTGCCTTAATTGGTTCCAGCAACTTCCTGATTGTTCTGGAAGAGCCCATTATCTTACTCGGGGAAAAGTGACCTGTTTAATCTGGGGCTAATATATCTATCTTCTATCACTCTTCTGTATTACGCTTTTGGCTACACTTTTCCCCTCACCTTTTTATTTATACACTTCCAATCCGTGGCCCCACAAAATCACGAGATCTCCTGGTTAACCTCCTCCTAGCCCTAGCTAAAACAGCCATTTATAAAACCAGAGAGGGGAGGTTGGCCAATGAAGCGTCCTGTGACTGTAGGGCCGTTTTCCGATCCTCAGTACATTCACATATCCGGGCGGAGTTCCTCTGGGCGGCGTCCACCAACTCCCTTAGAATCATAGAATCATAGAATATAAGGGTTGGAAGGGACCCCAGAAGGTCATCTAGTCCAACCCCCTGCTCGAAGCAGGACCAATTCCCAGTTAAATCATCCCAGCCAGGGCTTTGTCAAGCCTGACCTTAAAAACCTCTAAGGAAGGAGATTCTACCACCTCCCTAGGTAACGCATTCCAGTGTTTCACCACCCTCTTAGTGAAAAATTTTTTCCTAATATCCAATCTAAACCTCCCCCACTGCAACTTGAGACCATTACTCCTCGTTCTGTCATCTGATACCATTGAGAACAGTCTAGAGCCATCCTCTTTGGAACCCCCTTTCAGGTAGTTGAAAGCAGCTATCAAATCCCCCCTCATTCTTCTCTTCTGCAGGCTAAACAATCCCAGCTCCCTCAGCCTCTCCTCATAACTCATGTGTTCCAGACCCCTAATCATTTTTGTTGCCCTTGACGCCTTCGAGGAGCGGTGGGCGCTGTCCGAGGTTCTGTGCTTGGTGACCCCGTCCAGTTCCCTCCGTCTGACCCTTTGATTGAGGGGAAGAGCGAGAGACCCCAGCCCCAGCCGTTGCCGCTGTGGATACCATCATTACTGTTACCTTGGAGGGGCCCTATCACACGTGGGTGTACGTCTGCCCCACCCCCAAACCGCCCACCCCGCAGCCGTGCCCATCTTGTCGGGCACTCTCAGGAGAGGAATAATCGGTGACACTGGGCATGGCACTAGGTAACTCGAGGGAGTGGAAGACCAGGAGTGTCGAGGAAGCCCCCCCGCTATAGGCCACCAGGTAACTCAGAAGGGTGGAAGACCACGAGTGTCAAGGAAGCCCCCCCAGCTCTGGGCCCAGGCTAGCCTGAACACTTCTCCCTCCTGAAGGCTGCTGTGTTATACCTTGTGTTTGCTTTTGTTTTGTTGCATAGTTTTGCTTTATCCTTTTTGGTGATTCTTTGTAAGTGTTACACAAATAAAATTTTTTCTGCTTCAAAAAAAAAATCACTCTCCTGTAGCCATCTGGCCTGACCCCGTCACACCAGGTAGGACTATGAATGACAGTGTTTTCTGCGTAGGCCTCAGCATTTTGGTGGTACCACCTTTTTAGTAACCCAGGGAAAAGCATGCCAATTGCTTAGTTTGGGGGCTAGGGGGAGATTACATTGCTCTTTAATAACAAAGTGCTTATCTTCATTACTGCTGTTACATTTTTAACAGGAGACATTTATTACTTGGTTGCTGTTATGCAAAATATACAATCTTTATCTTCAGTGAGTTTTTTTTCAGGTAAGTAAATAAAGCAACATAAACTATTAGATGAGGGACTTCCATTTAAAAAGGAACACTGTGTTACTGATCTCTTGACATGGTTTAAATTAATCTCACATCTTTTTGGAAAGAAAATTGCAGTAGTCACTTACCATGAAACAATACATGCTAAAAGTAAGCAGTGATATAATACTGAGGAAAGAGAATGTGGGGGCGAATCACTTTCCTATCAACTGACATTGAGTCTCCCTGATAGCCTGCCAGCAGCTGTCTACTTCTCCTTCCCTTTCCTTAGCAACCACTGCTTACAAGCAGATTGGGATTCCACAGTGTGGTGGTTTCCATGGCAAAATGGATTACAAGTGCAGCTCACTTGTAAATTCAACTCCCTCTTTTTTTAACTGAAGTGAAAACTATAAGTGGGTTCTACATTTGCAGAAGCTGTAGTTAAATGTGATAGCTAGATAGAGATATTATACATATACAGTGCATCTAATACCCTATGTTAACTTTGACTTAAGCCTACAGCAGAAAGAACAATAGCACAGACTTCCAGAGAGATAGCCTTTGGTCTGGCATTAAAGTGATTATATAAAATAATTAAGACAGAATGAATGGTTTGGGGAGAAGCCCATTTGTGTCAGTTAGGGCAGAAACATTTGGGTGGAATTTCATCCTTAGCTTGCATCCGATGAAGTGAGCTGTAGCTCACGAAAACTTATACTCAAATAAATTTGTTAGTCTCTAAGGTGCCACAAGTCCTCCTTTTCTTTTTGTAGATACAGACTAACAAGGCTGCTACTTCTGCATTTCTTGTCTCTTCAGAATTTGAGGAGAGAACTGTCTGCTTAAATTTGTGTGGCATTC